ACCCTTTATGGAGCAATAAAATATGATTAAATATCAAGTAATCCAATTTATTAGACGTCTCTTGAATAATGGCGCTTCACTATAAGAAATTGATACAGCAGGCTGGGTTCGTTATTCATGTGAAATGGAGGAGAAACGGGATGTAAAATATACGAAATATACTGAATGTAAGAATATATCGATGGATTTCTTGCAGTGCTGTGACTTATAAAGGATATTTTCCATCTGATCGCGAGGTATTTATATGAAAAAGTAATAAACATGTAATAATATAATGATACATACATAAAGAGACAGACAGAGACAGAGACAGGTAGATTGGCTGATACACGAGTAGAAAGAGAATGTTAGAAAGAGAGCAAGAAACAGATAGATAGAAAAATAGAGAAATCGCTACACGCATAGATGAATGGATAAATAGAAAGATAGGTTGGGATATAAGTGAAGTGAAGTGAGGGATGGGGGAGGAGGGTAAATGATAGATATTGATAAAAATACAAAGAATACTAGATAAAAGGGAAGAGAGAATACGGATAGATTATGACAGCAACAAAAGTTATCATTATAGAGGAAGTATTACTAATGAAAAAAATGATTGACAATAGTAATAATAACAATAATTCGAATACTTCTACTACTACTATTAATACTAAGATTATTAATAATAAAGATTACAATAATAATGTTAATAATAGCAATGATAATAATAATGATAATATCACTTATAACATTGACAATAATAATGATAACTATAACAAAAAGAAAATGTTAATAATAATAATGACTTTAATAATGACAATACTAGTGACGCTACTACTACTACTACTACTAGCAGTTGTAGTAGTAGTAATAATAATAACAATAGAAGCAGCAGCAGCAGCAGTAGTAATGACAATAATAATATAAAAAATAATAATAATGGGCATAATTATTAAAATAATAAAACAATAAAAATAATCATGATTATCTTATTAATAACGATGATAATATTATTAATGAAAACAAAAATGATATAACAACTGCAATGGTAGCTATATCAATAATAATGATGGTAATGGTAAAAATAGTAAAATAATTATAATAACAATAAATTAATGATAATGCTAATAGTGATCATAATAACAGATAATGACAATAATAATAGAGATAGAAATAATAAAAATTGTAATGATAGTAATGATAAGAACATTAGCATTAGTAGTAGTAAAATAGTATTGGTAGTAGTAGTAGTAACAACTATTATAATAAAAATAGAAATAATAGTGATTATTATTTTTATTATTATTATGACAAAAATACAATAATAATAATAATTATATTCTTGATGACTTAATTAATATGAATAATAATAATCATAATAATGATAATGATACATCAACAACAACAATAATATTATTAGTTATAATAATGATAATAAAAATTATAACAATAAAAATGATAATAATAACAATAATAATACTGATCATGATAGCAATGATCATGATTAATAGTAGTAATAGTAATAACAGCAACAATAATAAAAGTAATAATAATAATGATGGTGATAATAATAATGATAACAATAATGATGATAATCATAATAATGACAACAAAAAGGATAATAAAAAATAATAATAACAATAATGATTATAATATTAATAATAATAATAGTATTAATGATAATGATAATAAAAATGTTAACAATAATGACAAAAATGATAACAATAACAATGATAATGATAATAACTGACATATCTTGCTCCCACTCTGTCTGTGGAATGTCGTCACTTTATAAGGTTTTCATTGAGAATTTCCCTCTCCAACTGTTTCTTGATTTTTTATTTATTTAGTTATGAATCTCTTTGCCTTTTTCTGTCATAATTATCACCAGAACCCTCATCACTGTCATCATTGTCAATATTAGTATTGATTTAATACAAGATCTTCTCAATACGTTGTCTGTGTTGGATTGTAAATTCCTGAGGATTTGATCATTGCTGTTGTTTTATTTTATTACTATTATTATTATGATTATGAACATCATTGTGTGCAATTGTTCATATGGGGGAAAATATAAATATTTGTACTGCCTTGATATACTTCTAGAATAAAATGTAGGGGAAAAAAGGGCATGAAATATGGCACACGCTTTATCTGACTCACTCAGGAGTATATTCAGGTCTGTGATATATCCGAGGAATGTATGCGAACCTTGCAATTCGGATATTTGCAAGACGACAGACATCTAGCCTTCAAGGTGCTCAGTAACTCATCCTCCTTATAGGTGCATCATTTAAGAATATTTTATCCATTCATGAGGACACTTGAATGGTGGCGAGAGGGATCCTGTGGATTTGACGGCAGGTGGAGGAGAGGGGGGAAGGGGGGAGTAGGTAGGGGGAATAGCGAGGGGGTGGGGGAATTGAGGTCTTTTAGATGCGTCTTGTCCAAACTTCTTAGCTACTTTTCTCCTTCTTCCCCATATTTAACACGACCTATAGTTCGTTCTCCCCCTCCAATA